AAGTAATAAATACATGTGAGACCTATATCACATGGGTCTTTAAGAGAGAAACTTTCACCAGAGTTCTTGTGGATTTTTTTTTTATTATATCAAAAGATTGGTTCAATCTTTCCATCATTAACACTTAAGGCTTAACGTGTAACGGTAGAGGAACCATGATAAGGTAGCAAGATATCCTTATCTGTTATTAATCTTTGTCATCTTTTGATATTGCCATATGACGTAAGGGTTTACGTCTCCTCAAAATCTTCAAGGGCAAAATTGTCTTTGTCTGACCAATAACATAAAGGATTACGTCATTAGGAGTTCCTCGAAATCTTCAAGGGCAAATTCGTCTTTATCTGAAAGACTCATTGATTGTGGTAAGGCAGGATTTTTACAATTCTGCCGTACATAAGAAGTTTTGCCAAGTCTTACCAAAAGACTGATAGTGGTGGTTTCGGCTAACAACTCCTTTATAACATTTTCTTCTTCGAATTGATCATACCTCGCTGAGGTGAAAGGAGGGTTATTATGATCAATCTTTTGGAGTTCATCACTGAAGAAAATGTCAGTGAATAACTCAGAATCCAAAAATAAGTGGTGTTTAGCTGGATAATATTCCCTTTTTATGTTATAGGGGTGTGTAGAGAATATTTCAATGAAATATTTTTCACTGTATATGTTTTGAAAGAACACATTTATCCAATAATTTATCTTAGTACTGAAAAATGGTTCTATCATTGCGTTCCTGAAAATAATCATCCTTTTCATGAATCCTGAAAAGAATAAATCTTCAGTTAATTTTTTGTTAATCCAAGCAGAATCACATTCCACCATATAAAGATTTATTCTGATGTTGTACTGATCAGAAGATGAGGGGACCAAATCATCTTGATATTGGACAATCCTCAAACGTTGTCGGAGTGCAGAATCTACTGGTAATTGAAATAATTAGTTTTGCAGTGCTCCAAGTTCTAGTAACAGGGCATCTGAAGCATGTTGGTAGATTTTTTCTTGGATTGGACTGGGTAGTTGGTCCAAGAATTTTCTTTTGAATGACCCAACATAGGCAATATGTTTTGTGAAATTTCCATAATCCATGGTTCGAAATCATAGTCCATCTTTTGATGAAGTTCAAATATTTCAGTTTTTAGTTTTTTATTTTCTTTTTCCAAACAAGAAATGTATTTTTGAAAATCATTTTTCTGTAAAAGAAAAAGAGTTTTTCAATTTTTGTTCCATTTTCTTGGCAAAAGCCAAGTGTTGTTTGAGTTTAATGGAAGCATAAATTGAAAAATTCTCTTATTTTATTGGTTTTTCAAAAATGAGATTACCAACTTCTGATGGTCTATTGTTATCACCTCCAACATAGCTGATCATTGTTTGTACAACTTATTCAAGGTTATCAAATCCTTGAAATTTACTGTGTTTGTCATTACCTATCGCCTTCAAAAGAGAGGGATATGATAGGTAAACGCCACGCTTATCACTAGTAAAGAGGCAGTAGGCCTCATTCTTGGGTTTTTTTAACAAAAGCGGGCAACATTTTCGCAAAGTACTAATTTAATACATTAATAGCATTAAACTTTGTTGTTGGACTATAAGCTTGATGAAGAACATCAAGTATAACCTTTTGTTCCCTTGAAATAGGACAGTTTCTCAGACATTTGAATTGTTGAGGATGACCTTCTGGTAAAACCGGAAGATGCTGTATTCCAAACTTTAGAGTATCAAACTCTTCAGTTGTTGAGGCTGGTAACTTGTCTTTATTGATTGGGTTTGTCATATCTATACCTATATAACTGAAGGAATTCTGCAATACCCTTTTGTTAGTTTTCTTATCATATGAAGAAACTATTGTATTCATTAGACAATATCCAAAATCATCTTTCTAATTCATTGTATTTATTATCCAGTTGAAAATCATTTTCTTGTGGATAAAGGTGTATGGATTCATTATTTGTGAAATCATTTATCAGGCCATAATCTTTATGGTTTTTGTCTGGATTGATTTCATGAGTGTATTCTGTAATATTAATCACTGATAGTATTTCAAAATCAGTAGAAACATCTTCATCAATTGGAAGAAGGTTCATGTAGCAGGATTTTATTAGTTCTGCCTCTTTTGTGTAAAGATTTGCAATATTAGGACAATCTCTAGAGAAATGTCTTGGTTGATTACAAGTGAAACATTTCAAAGTCTGCTTGTATGTTTTGTTGTCACTAAATTTCCTAATGTGTCTATCAGAATTTAAAGTTGGTTTTCTAGAATTTGAAGACCTAATCGTATAGGTATTTCTAGAAGTAGCGGGTTTTTGTTTTTTGAGAATAATAATTCTGATTGTAGTTTTTATTATACCTAGGTTTACTCCGAGGTACATACCTTTTATAAGGCTTGTTTTGATTATATTGCTGAGGAGTATAAATTTGTTTGCAAATTCCAACATCGAAATTTTTCAATTGCTTTTGTATAGCAATATGTGTACACGTATCTTCCATTACTTTCATGATGTGTTGTATACGTATAGAGAGTTTGTTCAACATAGGAGTAACCTCATCATTTTTCCAGGATTCACGGATCTTTTGGCCTAATTTTCCTGGTAGTTTGAGAAACATCTTTTCTCTAATGCTTAAATCATGGAAACATCCAGCTATGGATGCATACATGAGATAATCTTGTAAAAATTCTTTTATCTTTCCAAAGTATGTTATGGAAAGTCTTTCTAAATGACCCAGCTAAATCTGTTGTCTGAGTGTATTCTCATCATTTGCAGACTGGGAAGTAAGCAATTTTTGTAAAAGAGAACAAAAATTATATATGTTAGGACCTGATTCGATCACAAACATATTTAAGTCAGCTGGGTAATTTTTCTTAAAAGATTCCCAGCAAGCTCTAGCTATATCACTTAAATAGGTTTTAGTTTTAGCAATCATTTCTTGAGAAGAGTGAACATCTTTCTCATGATATATGTCATAATCACGGATTACAGCTGCAGTCTATTGCTCAATATATGTTGGCAATAGTTGAGGATCTATCCCTCCTATGTTTAGAAGAAGATTAGACATATGGAAGTTTGGCTCTATCGGAAGCCTTTTACCTAATATTGTGTATTGGTTGTCGCTAAAGACAACATTTTGCAGTGATACTTTAGGTGGAAAACCAATAGAGTAACTGTGTATACCATCTGGTTCCAACTGATAACTATGAGGTTAGAAATCATTTTATTCAACATTTGTGTTGACTAACCCTAATGTAGATAAGGGTTATGAGATTACGGATACAGTATCCAATGTATTACCGTTTGTGTTAACGAACCCAGTCAAGAGTTCTGAAACTAAAGATACATTATCTAGTGTATCTTTATCTTCATTTGGGTAGAAATCATCCAAAAATGCATTTATAATATCGTCCATATCATTAATTATATCATCTTGGACATTTTGGGATAAAGAATTTACAGTTCCTTGTCTGAACATGGCTATAATAGCCTGATGATGATTTCATTCCTCATTAGTCATGTCATCATCTTCATCTTCCTCATATTCTACGATATTCATCATAGAAATTTTTTCATTATCAGGAATAGCAAAAGTACTATACCTGTTTTCTATTGACGTATCTTATTCTAGGTCTAATTGTGGAATATTTTTATAGTCTGTGAAGCTTAGACTAAGTCCTCTAGATCTGTTATGCAAAATAAAAGATAAAGGGGCAGTAATGGGAGTATCTTCTTCCCTTGATAAGTGAGTTTGCCACAAGTGTCCTTTATTTCTCTTTGTGAAGGTTTGAGCTGACAAAAATTGTGTACCATGAGAGCTGATAACTTCCTCTAATGGTCTTGTATATATCCTATACATGGAAGAAATATGGTTACTAATTCTTCCAATGAAGGTGATGTCTAAGTGTAGATTTTCACCCACCCAATTGGGTCAAAATCCTATAATTTGTACTTCTAGACTTATGTAGTTAACAAAATCTGGAAGTGTAAGTGTAAAGTTTGGTGTAAGGTATATCAATGAAAAAGGTTGATTTAAATCTACCTCTAAAATACTTATCACACTTTGTGAATCATTGTTTTGAAATCTGGAGTCATGTAGGACTATCAAAACTCTAGCTCTGATCATATGTCTAACCAAGGATCTAACTCCAATGGTAATCAATCTCATATAGACATATCTTCCTTGTTGGCCTAGTAGTTGCCTACCAGTTTGTTGAGATATCAGATGAATTATCTCATAAGTGTTATTTGGAAGATGAAAATCTTCTATTCTTCTATATCGGTAAAAGCTAGTCATTTCTGAGCTTAACCAACCGATATTGTATAACTGTCTAGGATTTAAGGAATCTATCCTTGTATTTGATCATATCTCAGTATTTTGTTGTATATCTACTAAGTCTTCCAAACATATGATATTAGTAGATATTTGTCTATTTCGGAATCTATTTAAAATTCCGTATCAGGTTTTGACTTTTGGTTTGATGTTCCCTTAATCTTCTAGGGACTCCAGGAAATCTTTGTGTTTGATTAGAATCTGTTGTATTATTCATATCAACAGTTTCTAATTATTTTTTGGTGGAGTTAATAGGTCTTGTAAACATTAGTAAAAACTATAAATGAAGATAAAATAAAAATGACTTTTTTGTTTGAACCAAAATTTCAAACACAAATCTATATCCTGTTACCTTCTTATCTATATTAACTCAAATATTTTCTTAACCAAGTTTGGCTTGATAAATTAATTAAAAAATTAAAAAAATAAATTAATTGAAGATATTAAAAAAACATGAAAAGAAATAAAAGAAAAAAATAATGTAACGATCCTCACTAAAAAAAATGTAAAAGATTAAAGAAATTGATCAATTTGAATTTTTTTTTTCCGTGGTCGGTTCCACTGTATGAATTTAATTCTCATCCTATTCTCAACCTTTCCCTATATAAACAAAAACAATTTTTTATGTACTATTCCGATAAAAAAAAAAAAAAATCTGTGTACGATCCGTGAGTCACTGCAACGGCATGGAGGATAGTTTCAGAGTGCGAGTGGAGAGAGCCTTTGGTTCGCTTCCAATGCCCTCTTCTTCTCTCAACTCTCTATGGTCTCTCACCCAAGACGAAATCGATGACGCGCCCTCCAATCGCACCCCCCAACCCAAACCCGAACCTGAACCCGAACCCTACTACTCTTCTTCCAGTTCACGGGTTAAGCTGGAGGACCTCGACGATCTCGACGACGAGGACGACGAAGAAGAAGCGCCACGTGGACCCTCTAAACCCCCCGATTACGATGATGAACAGTGGCAGATTAGGTCTGGTATTGGCCAAGATTGCACCCTCGATTACGAGGTATATACCGTTAATCCCTCTTTATAACTTTTCCCCCAATATTATGTTATTATGAACTAAAATTATATTTGATGATAGACATTTTTTTTTATAATTTCATTTACACCTGCAATGAAAGAAAGCATATTTCTTTTAATTTGTGTTTCCCCCCCCCCCCCTTTTCTGTGAGTCGGGAAATTGTGTAGGGAGAGAAAGATTTAAATATATTGAGTCTGTTACCACTTTGCTCGATTGTTCAACTAGTACCTGGTTGTTCTACCTTAACTAGTCGTCTCTGAGTTTCATTTTTTTTTTTCTGGAAAAATTGCGTCGGAAGATGAATGCATTGAAAAAGATATTATACCGGTGATGGACTAAGACTATATATTTAAATTTCAAATATCATGAAACACGTCGATCTAATAAGATGTGGTTGTTTCATTTTAATCAATGTTTGAGTTTGAGCCCAGGGTATACCTGCCTGCAGAGTAGTCCTACCCAGTTCGAGCAAATGCAGAGGATACTTGCAGTCTGCACCAAATCCTTTAGTTTTTTTTTTTTTAAGTTTTTTGGCAACTTGAACCGACTTTGCTCAACTAATTAGGGCGGAAGATATTGAATTCCTTTTATTACTGTTGTTGTTATTTATTGTTTAAGTAAGCTCAAATCAAGAATTTAACTTGAGGAGGACACCTTGCTTTTTCTTTCTGATTGATGTATTTGTTGTGACTATTTGTTACTTGTTTTTCACCATTAAAGTTGGGATTTGAGAAGAAAATTTGTTTGGATAAATGATATTTGATTAGCTAAATAATAGGTTTGTATAACGGTACAAAATATTGTATGATCAGAATTTTTTTTATTTAGTCCTAATTTGTTAGAGTAAAATATTATAAGATCATAATACCTGTGTACAAAAATAATATGAATAAAAATTATAGAATGAATTCTATATTTTTCAATTAAATTGACTGAATCACACTTTATGCAGGAAGAGGAAGATCAATATGACAAACAGGCTATTGGCAAAGAGAATTTGGGTGATCGTGTGTACATGAGGGATATAAAGGATGATGGAGTTGAGATTAGTTCTAGCAGTGTTTTCCCCAATTCGTTCAGAGATTTCGTGCGAGATCCACGTGCAAATCATTTGGCTGCGAGGATTAGGCTGAAGCAGGATGATGAAGCAGCTAAGAAAATTGATGCTCTGCATGTCTCTGAGAAATCCGCACCAGACATAGGTGGTGGCGGAGATGCTACTAACCTCAAGTCAATTTTGAAGAGTAAGGATAATACGTCAGAGCCCAGGCCCCATAAACGTGTTCGGTTTGATCCTGAATGTGATGATAAAGATAACGAAGATGATGAAGGACACGTAGACACCAGGGGTGTTCGCATGAAGACATCTACAATGGAAGAGGTTCCAGCTTCTGATCAATTGTCTAAGTCACAAGAATTTGATTCAGCAGTTCCCGATTACGTTCGGAACCCTTCAAGATACACACGATACACCTTTGATGATTCTCCAAGTGACATGGATGACAAATCAAATACGGAAGCATACATGAGCTTCCTATCGCAGTTGAACAAGGGAACTGCATCTCATGCAGATGAGGCTTTGGATGATCTTCCATCTGTAACCTTTATATCAAAGAAGAAATCCGGTGATGCCAATATGCGTGACAGTGAGATGGTTTCAAAGCAAAAGCTTGATGCTGGCATGGAGGCCATGAATAGAAGAGCCTTCCCTGTTGGCATAGCTGCTGGTGACTCTGAAAACAGTGACGTTTGTGCAATGGAGGAAGATGAACCAGAAATTGAGGATGTTAAGAAGAGCTCTCAGAAGTTGAACCGCAAATACAGGAAGAAAACCCAAGAGGAGTTGAAGGAGCCTATTGTGTAATGATGTAGTTGGTTCGGAGACTTGTGTAATTTGCCATAATCAAACTTGTGCCTTTTTTCCCCTTTGTGTCCCTCAGACTAATGGCCCCGTTCGTACATTTTTTAAACGACATCATGTGCCTAGATTTTCCTGAGGCCAAGTTCGTTTTAGTTTGTAGGAGAACTGCAATAGTTGTAAACTTATCTAGAGCTAAGATTAAGATGTGTTCAGAAATTTTATATCTTTGAAAGTATCAAATACTGAGGAGTTGCAGATGTCAATTTTCACTGTTGTTCGTTAATTTCAACTTGTTTCTTCCACTGAGTTTACAATGTTGAATGTTACAGAGAGGCAGGAGTAAAGTCTTTTTAATTATTCTAACGTCTTCCGCCAAGCTTTATCAACACATTGCACAGAACTCACCCACAACTAAGGATAGCTCAGACTAACTCTGAGGGCCATTTTGATGCAAATGTGAGAAAAATACAAGCCTTTTTGGGAGTATGTTATCTGGTTCACAAATGAACAGTGGTGTTAGTTCAAGACCACCTCCACGTTTTAATGGCGTCTTTATGCCAAAGACAAAGACGCCATTAAAAAACTTACACGTTGAGGGAATCCATCACAATTTGTTAAGGGTTCGGAAACTTGTACACCGCAAACGTTACGGAGATCATTGCAGGGGTTGAGATGTGATGAGATACAATATCATAGAATTTCAAGCGCTACGCCACGGCAGGGTAATATTTCCAATTCCCTTTTTATTGTAAGCATTGACATTTTAGACAAAATCAAGAGCAACCCAAGTCACAACATAGGGGATGGAGCAATAGGATGTGCCTCAGTCAAAGCACAACGTCAAATACATCATTGTTGTGGGATTTTCTAGCAAAGGATCCAATATCAATGAGGAAGCAAACTCGTGAAGAGACAATGGTTCTTTCTTTCATGGAGAGAAAAACATACAAACTCGTTTCTTCTCTAACATTGACTTCAGCTCATTATCCATAGCAGTGATGACCTGCTATTTATCATGCCATTATTATGGCCAATTTTGAGGTTCTGGGTGTGGTCATCATTCAAATGAGCAGCATAATAAACATTATGTTCTGTAAGACATTCAAGAATATCGAAACCCCATACCAACAATTTGATCATCTTTAGGAGAGCATATTCAACTGATGCGCCAACTCAAATTGTTGGTCACCCCTAGTATCCTCAAGCAAATGTGGCTTGTTAGGAAGATTTTCACCAACGCTTTGGACACAATATCCTCAACATGTCATTACATTCACCATTCCATTCCATTTTTTTAGCTGACTTTAATAACTTCAAAAATAGTATTGTCTTTTCAGGCAACTTAGAAATAAATCGTACTATTAATACTAGTTTTTCATTCGGTCATTGTACCTCTTTTAATGTTTTAAGGATTTTGCATACTCAAGATAGTTTTACACTTAAGATTTGCTTCTATTCTTCTTTAAGTTATCATAAATTCGAAAAATATTCCTCCATCTATTTCAAACACATATTTTTTTGGATTTAATCTCATAATATACTTCCTAACCTTACCAAAATCTTTTTATAAATTTTGTGGATCTTCAATATTTTTCTTAAACTTAATAATCATATAATCTAAGTATACCTCGTTACATCTATTAGATTTTTAAAAACTTTATCCATCTGATAAATTGCATCAGCATTTTTTAATTTAAAGCCATGACTTTGTAACAAAAATTAACTCCCTCTGTAATAAAGATTGTTTTCTCTTCTTATGATAGATACATTGATATTTGATTGTACCCAACAAATATTCAGGTGAATTACAAACATCATATCCATTTATTACTCGTAGTACAGTGTAAGATATATTTCAAATCAAAACTCGAATAAAAGTTTTTGTTAAAGTCTTTTATTTAGAAATGATTTTTATATAAATTTCTGTTTGTTAAAAATAGTTATCTTTCTCCTACAGCATTCTTTTACGAGAAACAACTTTTTTCGATATTTTTTTGTTCTATTTATACATAAGTTTTACCTAAACATATTAAAAACCATAATATTTTTTTATCAAACAAACCTAATATCTAAAAGTTAGACACATAATAGATGATAACAACAATTTTAATGGTAACATTGTTTTCAGGATTCAACCTCTGCTAAATCGTTAAATCTTGGACCAATGTCTTAACTAATTATACAATGTTAGAAAAATATTTTTGATACAGTTTTACCTTGAGAAATTTTACATACGAAATAGACAATATACATAACTGGTTATTTCCCAAGAATAAAAAAGCAAGTTATTTCGAGTGAAGAAACAAAACCTATACGCATTGCTTGAATTTGCACAAAAAATTACAATGTTCCTTTGCTGCCATTACAACTGAATGTATATACTGGGCTCATCAAGACGCATGGATAGAGCACTTGTGACCCAAGTTTTCAAAAAAATACCCAACCGCTCTAGTTTTGCAAAAAGACCACATACAATTTTCCTGTAAAGTAATGAAACAGCATTTAGAATAATCGTTTCCTGCAGTCTGCGGCTCCACAATAGCATGGCATTTGCTTGATCTTCCCATTAGAGTCCAACACGCTATCAAGCGCATACCCATAGTCATACGTTAATTCCTGCAAGCAATCCACAAGAGATTTAAGACATTGCTAAAAATACTGAACCCAGAAAATTTGGGGGAAAATATAGAAAATGAGTTACCTGCAAAGGGGGTATGTTGTCCGCAGCAAACAGCATGACACGAGCCAGCCTCAAATCATCGTGTGTGCTCAATACACACTGAACAAACAGATTAGGCTCACAACAATGGTTTATAAACCTAGCAATATTTCCAGTAGATCCTGCATCGATACAAAACTCTGATGCACTTTCGGAACTTTGATCGTCATATTTGTTCAAAATATCTGCAGGAATATCTCCATCTTGTGCCCGTCTCTGTCAAAAATTACATCACCCAAGAGAGAGACAAAACTTGTTTTTTACATTAAACTGAAGCAGCTGACAAAAACAATGTTACAAGACTTCATAGGATTCAATACCTCTCTACCACCAAGGCCCTTGATCGTTTGCAAGCAATCTATCTCAAAAATATAATTGTTTTCCAACACGCTATCCATGTCTTCCGCTCTAGCAAGTATTCCTGTGTACTCACAAACTGGTGCTCCCGAAGGTATAAAATCCCAGGATCTGACAGCCCATCCTTTTTTGGCAGTCCGGAAAACCTATGTAATAATTTAATTAAATGCACAATTAAAAAAAATAAATATATTTATAATTGGTAATAAAAAAATGTGGAAACCGAAAAAATATGCAACCTCCAGTCGATATCTGAGTCCTTTTTGAGAAGTTCGATTCACACAACCAGGACCACAACCACATTTGGGTCCACATTCAAATACTACATCTTTAGCTTCTACTAACCTGTCAATGTATACAACAAAACCCCATCAAACATAACAAATAAAGCTTATAGGCATCTAACCAATCGACTATCTAACCTTCCACCATTCCGAGATACATAGGGAAAATCAGACCCATTACGCAAAGCACATGCACAGGTTGTTGGGTCATTACAGGAGCCTTGGCATTTACATCCGGTGGCATTAGTGGGAAGTTTAACATTTTTGGCAACCTTAACAGACTTACAATACGTGAAACCTGTAACAACATTAAGAAACTTGACATCAAATCAAAGTACGTATAAAAAAAATTAATTTTCCCAATAACTGAACTAAAATGGTAAACATTATTTGATAACCATCACAACATTAATTTGTTAAAAAACATCAAGCATATAAGCAAATGAGCAGGTGGGTAATGAATATAATAAAACCAACAGATCTACTAGAGTATTACATGATCCATTTGATGATGTAACGGAATTATTGAATTGGCAGATTTGTCTCTTGATGAACCCAAACTTGGAAGCAATTTTTTTTCTGGATGATGGTAATGGAGGAGAGGAATGATACAATTAGCATTACACAGTGATTTAACAATGATGCTTTTGAATCGTTCACTATTGTATAAAGTCAATACCTGTTTTAAGTTCCATCAAAGATGCTATTGTTGATACAATTAGCCAAAACTGGTTATGTTCATGACCAAAACTATATTATTTTGTTATGATTACAAATATCATTTGTAAATTACAATCAACATAGTTATGAATTAGCGAGAAATGGTCAATGCCTCTTTTTCTTTACCAATATTCTGCATCGATATTACATTTTATAATTTTCTCTTATTATCATATCAACACATATTGTATCCTAAATTTCAAAAAAATGGTCACATCCTTTTATGTGTCATACCAAATATCCGGGCTTCACAATGAAACTAAAATCAAACCTACAAGACAACAAACATTGAAGCGCCAAAACTTTATGGTAAAACTTCATACTGGGACTCTAAGCTCTCACAGGGATTTGGACTAATTTCTGGGGATTGGGGTAAACATCCAAATAATGGTTATCTCAACTCAAGAAAATACACTCGTGATATGCTGCAAAATATTGATATGGCTGAAGCCAAGTGTATATATGCTCCTGCCATCTTGTCTCAAGCCAAACATGGCAATAATAAGTACATGGAAGATCCTTCCCCGTGCAGATCCATACTTAGGGTTCTGCAGTATTACTTTGACTCAGGAAGAACGTATAGTATGAATAAGGTCTGTCAGTTTATGAGCCAGCCCACAGATGTTCAGTACCATTGGAATTTGCCAAATGAGTTTAGAGATATCTGAAGGTATTCTTGATTATGGTTTAGCCCTACTGTCTGCATCCTTTTCGGTTCCTTACATTATGGAAGTGAAGCATTTGTGATGCGGATTGGGCCATAAATATTGATATGGTCATCACTGTAATAAGCACATAGAGACATTATTTGGTCATAGAAAAGGTTCTAGATAAGTCGCTGATTGTAACTAATGTTAAGCTCGGGGTCACCTAGCAGACATTAACTAACCCTACTGCAAGTCTGTGAACAAAGGGACAAACTCAGAGTGCTCAGCTTCTCACAGCTCCAAATTGGAGGTGGCATAATAGTTTATGTAGTTAGTCAGTATTCTTGTTTATATCTCTATTTAACTATGTACAATTTAGAAGAGCAAACTCTCAAATTAGTTATGACAACAGTCTGGTGACTCTCCACTTGTTAAAATATGTTTTTGTTTATGTATGTTCCTAAGTTTAGAGTTAGAGTTTTAGCTAAAGGCCAACCTCTTTTTGTACTCTTTCATAAATATAACAACAGTACCAATGTCATTTGACACTATCTTTTACCCTAAATATTTCTCTAAAGTTAGTATCAATACAGGTAAGATCTCGCATTGATTTTCTTGGTCACTGGTCATCTCTGACCATCCAAAACACCATATGCCACCATTGCCACCTTCAACCAACGTCGTTCTAAGTGACAAAGCCAATGTTAGGTGTGCCTCAAGGAGCACGACCTAACCCCATCAACCATGACACCATCCACCACAGCATGCACTCTCACACACCGATCAAATCGCAATTGGTCTTAGGTGCACAAGCCTCACACATCATCTTTCAACGACCAGAATCACATCATGTCACAATCATTTGTCTTGTCGGCACATTCTACCTTCATTGTTATTCTTACTTCTCTATTTTGAGGTCCTTGAGGATTGGGTAGAGTGCTTGCTTTCCCAATTAAGGGTTTTCGTCCCTTGTATTCTTTGTTTGAGATGTCTACAACCAGGTCTTCTTTGTCAACCACTCCTAGTATTATTAGTGTCAAACTCAACAGGAAAAATTATTTATCTTGATTTATCGCTATAGAATTGTGGATCCTAAGTCAAGGGTATCATGAATATTTTGAGACTAAAGCTAATTCCATTTTTATTCTAAAAGACCGCAATGGAAAAAGATTGACTTTTGAAAGAAAGTACAAGATATCTTCAAAAAAGATATTCAACATCTCTTTGATGCAATACAAAAAGTAACCAGAGGCTAGAACTGTTGTGAAAGAAGTGAAAAGCTTTCTAGTGGCAAACATGTGGAGGAACTTAATAAGAAACTTGACAAGTCGTACATGGTCCTAATTTTAAGAAGTTTACATTCCAATTTAGATCATGTACATGATCAAATCTTTGTTGATGATTAGGTTCCTTTAATGGATAATTTAACAATTAGACTTATTCAAGTACCCAACTTGATGAAGGATGAGAATTAGGTTAAAGCTATTCAAACCTCAACAATGGTTCTACCTCGGGATAGGGGAAGGACACAATAATCGAGGAGGACATGGTCATAGAGGCAAATGTTCTCAATGCAAACGAATAGGTCATATCTCTAGACTTATTCCTCAATTGTTGTAGCTAATGAATTTAGAGCGGCATCTCAAAGAGTTGGCCAAGTTACTTTATCTCATTCACTAAATTTAAACTTTGTATTGTTCATTCTTAATTATCCTTATAACTTGATTTATCTAAGTCAATTGATTTGCTCACTAAATTGTTCTCTAACTATTAATTCCAATTATTTTTTTATTCAAGAACTTGGTAGAAGGTTGTCTAATTGGAGAAGGACATGAATAACGAGGTCTTTATTACTTGAGTCCAAACCCCTATATCTTGTCTTTTGCCACTCCTGCTCCAAAACTTTTGCATGATCATTTTTAGATCATCCAAGTTTATGAAAGTTGAAAATGATGATTCTTAATTTCAAACAACTTTGGGTCTTAGAGCATTAATCATATTAATTTGGAAAACTTTCTGTCCACATTATTAATCTTTTATATCAATTAATTCATTACATTATTTTCTTTTTCTTATCTTTAACTTTTTCACATTTTCTTAATCTCTCAAATTAATTTTTTTTTTAATCTTTTCAACCAATTTGACAAACAAAAGATAATTTTTCTTCTTTTTTGTCTTTTTCTAAATATTCTATATAAATATTAGTAGTAACTAATATTATTTTATTTATAATTTATCTTTATTAGGTTTTATTATGATATATTTTTTTGATCATATAATTCTTATTTGTCATATATCAAATTTTATCTTAATAAAATAATTATATTTTAAATGATTAAAAAAATTAATAATTTAAACTTTTATTACATTAAACTAATTAAATAAGAATTAACTTATATATTTAATCAAATATTTGAATATAGTATTATAATAATAATAATAATAATGTTATAAGTATTTTATATCTGTATAAAGAAAAAAGTAATTTAATATTTCTTTTACATACATATTTTAATATAAATATAATAAATTAAAATATATAATTAATTAATAATAATTACAATGTGTAAAATTATAAATATTTATGTATAAAAAATACATAAAAATATTAAAATTAATTTATTATAACTATAATTATTTTTTTAAAAATAATGTAAATCATGGACGAGAAAACCCAAAACTCAACTGGGATTAGGGGTGAGGGTCAAGGAGGCAAAACCCACCCACGCCCTGGTGTCATGCCTACTACATACCCCATAACGAAGTAGCATAATGAAAAGGAAAAATAGACACCTCATTGAATTGTATGCTACTTAATGTTGGATGCTAATGTTCATGTTCATCATTAAAAAAATGCAATTCTCAGTACTTGTTTTTTAATTAATAGAATGTTATCTTCTTCTCTTAAGAATAAAATCCATCACTATGTTATTTTTCAGATGATCATCTATACCATGTCTCTCCAAATGTATTTAGATGTACTTGTTTTGTTCATAATGTCTTTCCAAAATCCTAGTAAACTTAGTGGAAAAGCTATTAGATGTGTTTTCGTAAGGTATCCTCATATTCAAAAGATATAAATGTTATTCTTCTTCAACTTAAAGATATTATATGTTTTCTAATGTTACCTTCTTTGAGAACACCTTTCTTTCAATCCTCAATGGAAAGTATGACTCTTTTTCAATATGTTCTCTTTGTACCTTAGGTGATCCACTTGTGTCAACAACCTCATTTTATTACTTCTTTATTTAGAAGATTATAATTAAGGAGTAGAAATATCCCTATTCATAAGGATCCAATTATTTATGTGTTGTTATTGTATTTCCGTATTTAGCTTTCCAATCTTATATATATGATTAATGTATTCCAATAATAAAATTAGTTGATTCTACCCTAACATTTGAGATGGTATTCGAGCTCTCAAATTTTGAAAGCCACCTCTGACTGCACAAACCAAAACCCTAAACGACAACCTTCATTGTTGCCACTCATCCCAAAACCCTAAACGACAACATTTATTACTACTACTCATCCCAAAACCCTAGACAACCGCCTTCATTGTTGTCACTCATCCCAAAACCCTAGACGATAGCCTTCATTATTGCTCATCTCAAAACCCTAAACAACAACCTTCATTATTGTCAATCATCTCTTTTAAAGGCAACCTTCATTGTTCTCGTAATTTCACCTATTATTCCTTGAACCTTGTCTCACTGATGCCATGGTGGATTCAGTTGATACAACAACTTAAATAAGGGATAATAAATCCCAAATTCATGCAGAACTTCAAAATCTCAACACTACCTATAGATTGAATGGGCAAAATTACTTGAAATGGTCTCAACTTGTTCGTACTACTTTGAAAGGTAAAAGAAAAGTCAACCACTTGAATGATCATGCCACTAAAGAGGAAAATCCCAAATTTTCAAAATGGGAGGAAGAGGACTCTATGATTATGACATGGTTGTGGAACTCAATGATTCCAAAAATTAGTGATACTTGCATGTTTCTTAATTCTGCAAAGGAGGTTTGGAATGCTATAGAGCATACTTACTCCAAAGTTAAAGATGTTGCCCAAATATATGACATGAAAGTGAAAATTGTGGCTACAAAACAAGGAAACAAAATTGTTACAGAGTGTACCAATCAACTAAAATTATTGTAGATGGAGTTAGACCATTAGAGGGTCATAAAAGCCAAGTGTTCAACAGATTCAACAATGCTCAAAGAATATATTGAGTAGTATAGCATCTATGATTTTCCAGTAACTCTAATTTTGATCAAGTGAGGGTTTAAATCCTTGAAAAATAAAAAGTTCCCAAAATTAATGAAGTAGTGGCTATGGACAAAAGTGAAGAAAGTAGAAGGGGTATAATGCTAGAAACTCTAGTTGTGGAGAACTCAACCATGGTAGCCAGTGGGGCCTCACCCAAGATGATAAACCTAAAAAAGGGGGGAACAATCAACATGGAGAACAAAAGCAAAGGAGTGTGGTTTACCTACTACAACAAGCCTCGTCACATTCATGAAAGAATGTTAGAAGTTGCATGGAAGCCACCTAGTAAAGATTAGGCCCCTCAGAGCCGAGACAAGGAAGTGGGAAAAAAAGGAGACAACAAAAGACAAGGAGGACAAACACACATAACTATTGGAACCATTGAAGAAAACAAAGGAGAATTGATAAGATGAAATAGAGAAGATGAGACCATTTCTCAACAAATTGGATAAATCAACAAGTACTTGTTCTCTAGCATATTCAGGTACATGTAGAAAGTTTACTTTTGTGTTTGGACTCAATGTCTAAGATAGATTCTATAACAAATATTGGATACTATATTCAGGTGTCACTAACCCCATGACACCCCTTCCCAAACACTTATCCTCCTACACCCCTTGTCCTAGCAATAAAAAAATATTCATAGCAGATGACACTCTCATTCATAACTCTTAAAAATGTCCTTCATATTCTCAAAATGTCCACTAATCTAATTTCCATTAAAAAGATCATAAAAGACCTATCATGTAATGTTATGTTCTGTGATAATGTTTATATGTTGCAGGTAAAGAGGATGATTGGACATGCTAGAAAATGAAATGACCTCTATTATTTGGACAAACCCAAATCTGCCCCCAAACTTACACAACAACAACAACAATTTTTCCTCTTCTGATTTAATAAAGACCAACAGGGAGAAGGTCCTTCTACACCATTGTCGTCTCGGTCACCCTTCCTTTAGAATCATGAAATTGTTATTTCCTTCCCTATTTAATAAATTAGATGTGGAGAGTTTTCATTGTGAAGTGTGTGAACTTGCTAAACACAAGTGTGTACATTTTCCAGTTAGTAATAAAATGAGTACTTCTATGTTCTATTTAATTCATACAGAAGTGTGGGGACCTTCAAACATCCCAAGTGTCTCTGTTGCTCGTTGATTCCTTACCTTCATAGATGATTGTATTAGGGTTACATGGATTTTCCTACTAAAATATAAAGCCAAAGCCAACTCTACTGTTCAATATTTATTTTCAATGGTAAAAAATTAGTTTGAAATTAGCATTAAGAGGATTAGATTAGACAATGCTAGATATTACTTTAATAATGAACTCAATTCCTTTTGTCGTAAGGAGGGTATCATTCATGAGTCATCTTGTGTCAAAACATCCCAACAAAATGAGATTATTGAAAGGAAAAATGGACACTTACTTGACCTAACTCAGGCTCTTCTTTTTCAGTATAAGGTTCCTAAATCCTTTTGGAGAGAAGTTATTCTAACAACATATTATCTAATTAATAGATTACCCTCTAGTGTTCTAGCCTCAAAAAGCCCTACGGAAGATATTTCCTCTTTCTATCCCAATGTGGCCACATCAAATAACCTTGTTCCAAGAATAAGTGGGTGTGTACCATTTGTCCATGTCCATAGTGATGTTAGAGGAAAACGTGAAATTCCCTCAAATCCAAAGGGATATAGGATGTTGGTGAGAAAACTTGTCTATCTCACTATTTCCATCCTCAATCTCTCATATATAGTTGGAGTAGTTGGTCAATTGATGCAAATCCTAGCATTGATCATTGGAATATCTTGATTCACATTCTCAAATATTTAAAAGAGGCTTCGAAACAAAGATTGTTGTATGAAGACAAAGGTAACACTCAAATCTTAGGATATTGTGATGCATTAGGATGGTTGTCCCATTGACACAAAATCTACTATAGGATATTGTATATTTATTAAAAGAAATGATTTCTTGGAAGAGTAAGAAACAAAGTCTTGCTCAATCTATGCAAACAATTGAATATAGATTTATGGGTCCTACTAAGTGTGAGTTTGTGTGGATTAAACAACTCTTTCAAGAATTGAAATTTTGTAATAATGAATAGATGAAGTTGTATTATGATAATTAAGCAAATCTTCATATTGTCTCCAATCCAGTGTTTCATGAAAGAACAAAATATATTGAGATCAACTGTCATTTTGTCAAAGAAAAGAAGTTGTCCAAGGAACATTACTAAGTTTGTCAATTCTAATGAGCAACTTGCAAACATTCTAACTAAATCATTAAGAAGATTCAATTTATAGGTTTCAAGCTTGGTGCATGCAATTTATATACTCCAACTTAAGAGAGAGAGTTAAAATGTTTTTTTATGTATGTTCCTAGGTTTCGGGTTAGAGTTTGAACTAAAACTCAGCCTTTTTTTTATTCTCTCTAATAAATATAATAGTTCCAATGTCATTTGACAAACTCTTTTACCGTAAATGTATTGTAACCAAAATTCATATTAACTTACAATATATACTATATATTTAATTTCTCTTAATAAATATCCTATGTTAATATTAACCATGTTTCACAATATAAACTCTTTCTAAAATATGATTTATATGTTAAAAATATTTATTTATAATGCATTTGATTATAATATAATAAATTTTAGTTTTTTAATTGATGAGGGAGAAAATGGTATGGTTGGTAGTTGATACCTCATGATTTTGAAAAAGAAATCACGGATTAGTTTTCACTAAATAACATAGATGACTAGAGATTCTTGAAAGGAAATCATGGATCTAATGATGAGGAGAGATTCACGATAGGAAGGGTTGATCACCAAGTATCCACTAAATAACATAGAAAAGGTTTTCAAATCCCCCATTTCAGATTAATATGAAATCGGATAGGAACGGAAGGAAATGGAGCAATGCTTTGACCGCTGAATGATGAAATATCAATTAGAAATCACTCAAGGAGTTTTAAAACCAGTATTACAAAAGTCAACAATTTTTAATTATGTGATAATTGATAATTGAATAGATAATGTAAAAATTAATTAATAACCATATATGTATATATTACAAATCCTCTATTAAACTTGCCTGTGGGTGCAACAGGGGGGTCATCTACCACATTTGTTGCCGGAATGGGAATATCTTCTTGACCTCCGGTGATATCCTCACAAACCAATCTAAGGAAAAGTGTAGCGAGATTTTTAAAGGCAACATAATTTGGATAAAATATATTAAGTATTCAGTTTATAGAAGGTTTTTTTACCCGCGTATTTCTGCAATAGATTGAGGCACGCGCCCATTAGTAAAATATACCTGTTAAACAGAGTAAAATAAGCAAAATACTTTAAATCCCCAATGCTCAGACTACAAATTAAATTACCCTAAGGAAACATTTGGTAGTTGTGTTAGAACAAGACAGAACATATGGATTCTGTTCTGCATTATCTGAACTTAAAAAAATAGATGAGGTTAAAAACATCACAACTATGATCCACAAATACTATTGCCTAGCAATTTCATAAAAAATATATAGGGCGACAAAACAAGAAAATATTTTTAATGAAATAAAAGAATCATAATAAACCTGATTTGTGGTTAATGTAGGTTGCCCTTCAAGTCTCCTAAGTCGATACTTAAAGATTTTATATCCAGATATCCCTTCATCTTCCCACCAATGGACAACCTACAAATACCGACAAAAGTGCATAAAACATTTGCATTATAGTTTTCTCATAAAAAGCAAATGCCACTATGAAGAAAACTATAACAAATAGGAAAACATCATCTCACAAACTCTTCTCTAGTGCCAACTAAATCATGAAAGGAAAGCATCAACCTATTCTCACAAAATATTAAAACTTGCTAACTGGTAATTACTAATTGACTTTGATAAACAGTTAGAGAAGGCAGAGGGACTTTCATGCCAATCAATGGTGAAGGCTAGTATAATCACCCATACTCATGTCTAGCTTAAATCGTCCATATATTATTATAGCCTTCACCATTGGTGTAATATTTTGTCATCCAAATCATTGTTTTGTTAAATCTTAGGCAGCTAATAGAGTTATGCTTCAGGGTTGTTGTTTCCAAATAAAAATATTAACTGCAGTGCATTTACTTGGCATTTAAAATTAGGTCATCCTAAATGATTTAGGTCTTATTCTTCAAACTTGTAATATTCGTTTTCTTAATAAAGAACATATATCGTTTTGGTCTGCTTGCTGTATGGGGGGAATCTCACAAACTTCCCTCACAACATTCTTCTGATGCCTATACATCACCTTTTTGACTTTGTTTTCTGTTACATATGGAGCCTTGCTCCTGTGGAATCTTCAAATATTTTTTCTTCTTACATATCTTCTGAAGATGTTTTTTCAATATTTCCTTGGATATTTCTTTCAAAACAAAAATTTGGTGTTTGGTCTATTTTTCAACATTTTCCTTCTATGGTTAAACTTCAATTTAATAAAAAAATTAAAATTGTTCAAACTAATTGGGGAGCTGAGTTTCGTCCCTTTCAAGAGTATCTTGTTTCTCTTGGTGTTAATCACAAAATTATTTGTCCCCATACTCATTATCAAAATGGAATTGTTGAAAGAAAACAACATCATATTGTTGAAATAGGTATGACTCTTTCCACAAGGACTATAAGTATTTGTCTCCTTCCGGCATACATATGTAAAGATGTGCTTTTTAACAAAACCAAATTTCTATATTTTGAAATGTTCCTTGACTTTAGTGTTGCATTCAACTTCAATGTGGCCAAGGCAGTTATAATAATTACAATAGTTGTTCAATATGGCCCTCATCATGTCTGCCACAATAAGATTATAAGCCCAAAAGCAAAGCAATAAGAACAAGTGGCGGGGACCAAAATCATTTGAAGTGAAAAGTTGCAACAATTCCTCACTAATCATATCATAGGTAAGGATAATAAGGGCGAAAAGTATTTAGTTACACACCAAGTCAAGACTATTAGCGGACCAGCAAGAGCAAAAACCATGAAGAATTGACCACATTATATGTAGAAGGTCTCAACATCACTAGTGAAAGACATTAGATTGTTGTAATCAACAATCAAATGATCAAGCTTACCAAGATATGTCTACATCTTCAAATTCTCAAGCTTGATGTACATTATAACAATAATAACACTATAGGGACGAAGGACATTTTTGGAGTTACAAAGAAGATCTAGAGGAGGCAATCATATACAAAACCAAAAAAGGGTTGGGATTGGGTAAGGTTGTTGGAGGTAAACAAGGACCGAGAAGAGGTTGTTGACAAGTGAGTGGAGTCAAATAAGGGATCGCAAAATAAGTCAACTTGCCTTGCTTCTAGCCCATCATAGTCAAGAGAGAAGATTGTTGCTAATACATGTTAAATTGCTCAATTACAATCAATAATTCAAACCTAATTTTTAAGTGTTCATGATTTAAATTATAATACTATTGTACATTAGTATCCTTCAAAGACAACAAAAAATTATAATCTTTTAAATCATAGTGTATTCTATTTTAATTTTAATAAATCAATTTTAATATATTAAAAAGGGTCGACAAGTTAACCCATGTCGTTAGGCTAAGCAAGGTGAGCCAAGGCAAGCTAGTGGGCCAACACGCTAAGTCAATCAATTTTGCCATCTTCTCTAGCATAAATGGCTTCATATGTCCTTTTGGTGCACACAAATAAAGTTCACAATCAAGAAAATAAAATAAAAAAATCATGTAGGGGCACATTCAACAACCCCCAACAATGTAGTGCCAACATATGGATCATTAGAGGTAGGCAACAATGATCTCAGGTGGGGACTAACAACATGGTCGAGAAGGCTGTCAAACACTAGACAAGAGAGGTATGATATTGTTCAATCATGAAGAAAGCAAGACAACTTTGAAGAGAGGATTGAACTTTAATCTTCTGGCACCATAGAGAATCACAAGATCTAGTGATGAAATCATATATCTCAACAAGGAACGAAAGTATAATAAAGAATGTGGGTATTTTTTCAATATATAGAAATAAGTCAAAGGTATATGACATTTTAAATTTTTATAGATGAACAAGTTAAAAAGTGACACTTTTAAACATAAAGTGTTATATGTCGATTGTAGATCAACTATTAATTTCATATGGTGTAGCAACATAAGATCTTCAAATATATAGACCAAGAAAAAGGTATTAACATCCAAAAAAGTTAAAATTGACTAATTTAAAAGTCATATATAATATGTTTGGTGTAGAAAATAGAAGAAATCACAACACATTGACAACGTCCTCACTGAACAATGTCTTTCTGCATAAGTGTGACAGATCATATTTTACATTTTAAAAATTAATATTTGATATTTTAAGCTCTCTATGAAGATATGTTTGTCAAAAATGAACATCCAATTACTGATGAACAACAAAATTGAGAAAGATTTTTAACAAATTACCTTGTACAAGCCATCATATGTGTATACTTTACCAGAGTAACTACTTGAAGAATCATGACCTCGAATGACTCTAACAGGCACACATTGCTCCACACAATTCTACAATTGAGCTAAAAGTATGTTAGATGCGCCATTGTAACATCAAATATGTTAAAATGGTTTAAAAAAAGGAATCATATTTGAAAATATATAAAAAAGGAATATACAACATAAAAATACAAAAAAAAAAAAAAACAACCTGAAAAGCGTGGATAAACATTCACACCTACATGTTACAGCACAAACATCCAATAGAACAAATAAATTTAAATATTATAGCATATAATGGAGACATTCCACAACATTAAGATCAATGTTTTAAACGTCAGAATGAGTCATTGCAACCATAACAAAATACTAATTTATCTAATTATTTTGAATATTGTGACTCACCCGTAATAGTTTACCCACATAAAAAAGATAATATTGAAAGATCTATTAACTACATATATGCATAGCATAATACTTTTTACACCACAAACAACAATAATTCAACATTCAACTTTATGATAAAGAAAAGTAGCAAAACACAATAATAAAGTATTTACATCAGTGCTAAAGACACTATTACTTGTTAACTTGTCTGAGTTTAAGAGTTAACTCAAGAGTTTGAAAACAGAGTATGAGACAAACACTTACTTTTTTCATGTATTTTTGCCTCCTGGAAAATAGCATTTCAAAAGACACTTGGCCCAAAAACAATTCACAAACATCATGAACTTCATAAAATTTCATCAATGCATGAAATAAAGTTGGTTAAATGAAAAATAAGAAAAACTAGCTCTGGACTTGTCCTATAATATAAAACCAATGATTAATACCTAGTTTTAACTTTTATTATTTTATTTTAGAAGGGAGATATTCAGAATTGTGTAAATAGCAGAGGAATAAAACTTTATCACCACACTTTGTAAAAAAGTAATTATAGATTAAAAAAATAAACTATGATTGCGGAGGTATCAAGTTATACGTGCGCCAATAAAACTACACCAAAAACTATCCATTGTCTACCAGAATTGATCAAAAGGTACTGAAGCAAAAATAAATTTACATTTGAATTTTTACTAACTAGAAAAAAGGGTATGATTAGGTGCCAGGTATTAGCTTTGGAAACAAACACAGAACCACGGGATTTGATTGTGTAGGAGTAAACTAAAGTATGTGCATTACAATTTTAACAATAAAAAGAAGAAAAATGACTTGGGAGGAAAAAATTGAACGTCTCACACCACAAATTACTATTTTTAAATATATATGATATCAATATTACAAAATGATGGGGAAGTTAAATGAATATTCCACACATACATACAAGCTGGATGATTTAAATGAAAAAAAAAGACATAGTGAGTTAATTGTATCCTCAAAGTATCTACCAAACTCACAGGAAAGTTTTTTTATATTACTATACAACCAAATATGCTCTATGGTAGAAAACGTTGAGCTTTAAAGAGACAAGAGAACAAATTGAAGTAACAAACAAATAGATGTGTTCTCACACAAAAGGAACAAGATAAAAAAAAATGATTACAAAGAAAAATTGGTAAGGCACATATTCAGAAAAGATAATGGAAAATCAACTATGGGGGTTTTGACACATGTGAAGATGGTATGTCGCACACCTTTTATGCGTGTGAATAAAAATAAAAAAATGAACAATACGAACATTAGAGGAAATTATTAAAAAGCAATCATGGTAAATATCTCCTACAATTTTGTTTTGAACCGAACCCAATGGTAGGATTTGATCCAGACAATCAATTTCACCTTGTGGAATATTGTGAATATTAAAAAATTCTACTTACATACCATAGAACTGCAAATAATTTACAAAAAATGGTATAACCTTCCATTGAACAAAACCATAATTCTAATGATTAAATGATGCAGACAGCAAAATTAATTATCCACGGTACTACCAAGAAAAATAATAAATTATTAACCAAAATCATACTACAGAGAAAAAATAAATTATTAACGAAAATCAAACCTTGAGAGCTAGGTTACCACGCTCCATCTTTTGATCCTGGATTTGCCGCTTATCACCAGTTAGATTATGCCCCCCTTGACCAGTGTATATAACATCCTCAGCATTATCAAGATCATCCTCATACATGCCCGACAAAACAATCGCAACAGCAATCGGAAATTCGTAGCTATACTGTGACAACAAAAGGGGAAAAAATGGAACAAGGAGCATAGGTTTATATGGATGATAAGACATTCCAATAAAACTCTAAATTTGTATAAATTAGAAAAAGAAATGCAATTCAAGAGAAAGGACTAGAGAAACTCTAAGCGCAACAATACAATTCAAAAAGCCCTCATACCACCCAATATTCCTTTATCCTGTCATGAAATAGACCCTACTATTTTCTCCATCTTGTATCTAAGTTTTGCTTGTCACAATCATAATCATCAAAGGCATCCCTAGGATGCGCTCTACTCATCTCTCTCCTTCACACAATGTGCTATGTTCATATTCTTTGAGATGCCAATGGAGGTGCATCTCTATTCATAAAAGTAAAAATGCTACATGATATAAAACAAGTGATGGGTGAAAACATGGAGTAGATGTTTCAGGTAATGAAAAGCATACTCAAACATTCAATGGAAGAATTTTCAAATTGAACGGAGGAAACATATAAACTTAACATTTAATTTTTTAGTTATTTAATTGTTATCTAGTTATTTTAAGAACTTAAAATTTATTGACATATAGCATAAACTTATTTATTTTTGTGCAGGTTCAGCTTGTAATCATAATGCACTAGTAAATTTATTGTTTACTATTTTGCTTAAGTGTTGTGTTCAAATGTTGAAGTGATGTTATTTTTCACATAAACTATACTCTTACAAGTTGAGTCCACAAGTTAGGTCTACATAGCATTTAAGAGTCTACACAAACTCTCAAGTTTAGTAACTTCGGACTTATTCATATTGGGGAATCAATGGAAACCTATGAAGCCCAAACACTTCAAAAATGGAAAGTACCAACATCGTACCTATGTCAAATACCATACTCTCAAAATACTTCAAGATAGGAATTCCAAAAATATCCATTTTTTATGATAGTTCTTGAATTCTTTTGGCCACACATTTGAAAAGTATCCAATCTTTTTTTTTCATTTAATTTGATTTCTAACAAGATATGGCTAGGATACTTCTAGACATGTACATGAAAGGCTTTTTCCTTATAGTTTCTTGTGTAACAATATTCTTCCTCATGTCATGGGTGGAACGGGAATATTACCACTTTATTCAATAGTTGATGAGAAACAGAATAAACTCAAAAGCTTATGAATATTTGGTTCATGTAAAGATTGACCTTTGACCTCAGTTTAGAAAAGATGAAGTATACAATTGTATAAAAAAGGAAGACAAGTTGCGAGACACTAGAAGAGCATAATCCACTTCATGCTGTTAGACTTCTTGAATTGGTAGAGTTGTCCCTTTAAGAATCAAACATAAAAGCTATCTTTTTCCTAGTTAATGATAACAAAGGAAAGGGGGAATGATAAAATTAGCAATAGACAATACTTTAGAAATCATGTTTCTAAATTGTAGGCTACTATAGAGTCAATACTTGTTTTGAAAACTACCAAAGATAGTCAAGACTAGTTATGTTATAAACAATATATTTTTGTAATGATAACAAATTTTTTTGTAAATCATAATCATCATGGCTATGATTTAATTAGAAATCATCCAAGGAATCTTGTCCCTTTGTCCTCAAGGAACAAGGGATATTGCCACTGATTAACCTTTGCCACCTTACAATACCAAGAATGTAGCCACAGTAAGCTAAGATTAACTTATGATTATTGTTGGAGATCCTACATAAATTAAAGATGTAATTAAATTATTGTATATAAATGGATGCAAACTAGTGGCGGATCTTGACTATTGATTTTGGGAGGACCAAATAATATATTATTAATAAATAAATATAAAAAGATAAAAGTAAATGAAAATGAAAAGGTGAGAGAATAAAATTATAAATGTATAAATAAATATATTAAATGATCATTAAATTTGAGAGGTCAAAATAATAAATTATATGAGAGTTACAAAATTAAGGGAAGGCTAAAAGAATAAATTTGTAAATATATAAATAAATATATTAAATGTTCATTATGTTTGGGGAACAAAAATTATAAATTATATGAGTTACAAATCTTTAAGGGGGTTACAACCCCTAGGTTCACAAGAAGATTAAGTTAATTGTTAATTGTTACATGTTAATTGTTAGATTGAGTTAAGCTTCAAATCCACTTTCTAAGATGGTATCAAAGTCTATCCTATTAAAATGTGTTGGTCACCCACTGTAGGACAATTATCAAACTGCCCACAAATATCTAATCCACACTCAAGATATTCAATCGTAGGCATGAGAGGGTGTATTGAAGATTTTACATCAACAAAATATAACATAATTATAATATATAAATGAGTACAAACCTCATCTTACAAACAAATTTTTTGCAACTGGCTTAGGCTTAAACTCCACTTTATATGTTGATATGAGGTTTAAAAGAGTTTATTAGAACCATTATGCCATCCATTAACAGGTCACTATTAGAACTCATAAATTGGCTTGTAAGATGAAATTTGCACCAATTACATATTATAATTTGGTCATAACTTTAATTAATGTGAAATCTCTAATAAACACCATCATGCCATGAACTAACATTTCAAGTCTGGATTAAATATTAAGGAGTGCCATAATAAGTCCAAAACTCAATAAAATAGGCTTTGCTACCATATTAAGTGGATTTTGAGTCTAATTCAACCTTACAAAATTGGTTTATAAAAAGATATTTGCACCCATTTATATACCACAATTTTGTCATATCTCTTATAGATGAGGTATCTCCAACAAATACATTAAAAATACACTTTTGGAGAAATTAATTTAAGAAAAAAATCAATTAGTTAATCAATAAGCTAATTTTAGCTTAAAAAAACTTAATATTTTATTAAATTTTCTTCAATATGTACTTATATTGAACGAACTAATTAAGTATCGACTAATAATATTGAAGTATGGCATACAAATACATGTAACAAATGAAAGTATTAATGCCTCATAAACATCCACTAATAGTCTTTACATTCCTACTATTTACTTATGTGAGTGTCTATCAAAATCTTTGAGACATACAGTTTTTGCCATTACACAAGCTCACTCTGAATTTTATTGTATCAATGACACTAAACAACAATGAATTTATTAACTCTCTTATTACAATGTTATGACTAGCTTCATTATGCATAGTATCAAATACCCACAACAACAAGCCCAACCAAACATTTATAGTCTTAAAATGGGCTCTCTCATTTCACAGGGTCAAGTGCTTGGTAACCTAAAGTTTGACAAACCAAGTCACAGTTGGTCACTTCCTTCTACCTCCACTACCACCAACATAGAATTATTTGATTGTTCCCATTACCAAATGAGGAATTAGAGGTGCTTGTTTAAACACTAGTAACTTGGACTATTGTGTTGCCCACATTTAAATCAAAGTCCCATACTTTTCTCCATCAACATTTGATACGACTTACTACATTGATTTGGTTCTCCTCCCTATCCATTCTTTCTACTCAAACTGTCCAAAAAATACCAAAGTCAATGTAACTCCGCATAGACTACAACCATCACCCAAGGTTGTCAATGCAACAATTCTCCAAGTAGGGTATGTATTTTGCCACCATGTCATCCCTCTTGAGAAGGGCATTCAATCAAATCACTACTTTATTAGTCATAATTTTGATGTCATTTTCAAAGTTTGAAAACCAATGTATTGCTCTTACAACGATGGTGGAATCAACACCATTAGAACCTTTGTTTCAGCAATCACTCCAATTTGTTGAAGGAGTTTTATTTATTGAAAAAGGATTGCTAGAATGGTGATATCCTTAACAATTCATCGAGGATGTCGGAGATCACTCCTAATTCAACTACAACCCAACATTGTGCATTATTTTTGCCTAGTGCCATACCATAACTTCCATACAAAAACATATAAAATATGCATCTTCAACAATGTTCCCTAAAAAACAACATCGATTTTAACCTTTACAACCCACCTTATGGGTATTTATGGGTGATCTCTGATAACAGCATGATATTAATGGAGTCATAAACCTAACAAAATCATATTTTATCTAACTTGCCCTTACAAAACCAACTACTAAGATAAGGTTTGCACCCCACTTATATATATATATATATATATATATATATATATATATATATATATATATATATATATTAATTTGACCATATCACTAGTCAATGTGAAATTTTAGTTAGGGTAAAGTTCATCAAGCTATTTCACATAGAGCCACATAATAATTTCCATAGAAAATCTACACCAATTGAACATGAATCTTGCAATGGTATTTCCCAAATAACAAAGTAGGTTTCAACCTTCATAGTCCACTTTATAACATCTCCAATAAATGAAGGAAGCTAAGCAATTGCAATCTTCTCAATAGCACAAAGAGGTATAATCTATTGTTATAGCTTTAGCTATATCAATAACAAAATATCAAATATAGAATAGCTCAAAAAGCTATCAATACTCTCTGGTAAGCTCACAAAGCACAAGTAAATAGAGGTGGAGCAAAGAACAACCATATGCACACACCTTAGAGAAATGAAGAGAGGAAAGAGGCATCTTTGAAACTAGAAAAGTGGTACGTGTTCACATACAGGATCCACATGTTGGCAACTTACACAATTGACAACAATTATTGGTGTTGCTGGAGCCCATCTCACACCTCAAAATACAATGCTTGTAAGGACTCAATGATCTCACTAACACTATTTATCTAGGAACTAGATTAGGTTGTTCGTTCACTTAGTGTTTTATCATTAGAACACTACAATTGGTCTTTATGTCATAATAATGCTTCTAAGTTTGAGATTCATATCATTTAATTGTTACAACATCATTCTCATTTGCATACACCCTACTCAACCTCAAAATGACATTGAAAGACAAAACAATTTTTCACTATCAAACAATTAGCAAGAAATAGAAAATCAAACAACACGTATTTAAAAGTTGAATAAAACACCAATGGTAAGAAATTACAATTTAATTGTGAATATGTATTCAATTCAATGAAAGAAAAGACAATTCAAGATGATGGGCTAGATAAACTCTCTAAGCTCCAACTACAATTCTAAAACCTCATGTTTCGCAATATTCCTTTATTCTTCTAGATACCTACTACATTTTCTTTCTCTTATAACTAACTTTTCCCTCACATCACTACATCTTGATTGACTTACATTGACGCCCTTACGCCTTAGAGTGTATTTAATAATAGCCTTCTACATATTGGGTCAATGGAGACCCACATAGGACTCTATCCTCTCTCAATGGAGATCAAAACTTATTATATGAAAATCACATTTATAGCTTACAATCTATAAACTTCCAAGATGGAGTAAAATAAATATAGCATAGCAAAAAAAAATTATTACCATTTTGGCATAGGACTGGCCCATATAATCAATGCCATTTAACCAATGGCTATGAAAACCAATTGCCACCATTTCAGCACGAGAAAAGAACTGATACCCAACTTCAATACCTACCATAACAAGAAAAAATAAACCAATGATTAAGGAACTATTAACACAAAATTTGATCAAGAAAGTAAAAGGTTAATTATATAAGAGGCGGCATCTATAAGTGTTAAGGACCAACAAAAATCAAATCAATTAGATTATGTTGACCAAAAGTAATAGCAACAAAAGATGGTTATTGGCTACCAACCTGGAATACTGCCAATTCGTTTATCAGGGTATAGTATCTCGTTATTTTCCATCATCTACAAAAAAATCCCAAAATTGAAGATAGAGTTAAAAGAAAACAAGATCATAAGGTACAATTAAATTGATTTCATTTAATGAAATTAATCGACTCAAACAAATGATAGTATAAATTAATTAATAAATGTATAAACATGTTTAAAATACAGAGCTAATTTTATTGTATACATAACTAAAATAGTACATTGAATTGTTTCAAAAATACAACTCAAAATGAACTTGTTAAGATTCCAACATTAAACCAATTGACAATTCGTAAAGTAGCTTAACAAGTATTTAAACTATACTACATGACATGAGACGGGTAATGTAGGAAAAGATCAAAAGTATCATTTGCCTGAACCAGGCAAAGGATACTTTTGATCGACAAAGAAAAAGCAACTCTTGGCTAGGAGTGTCAAAATGAGTCAACCCGGCTTACACGGGTTGGCTCACAACGGGCTGAGTTAAAAATAGGTGAACTCAACCCGACTCATTTTATGACAAATCAGAAATTTCACAACCCTACTCAACCCATTACGGATTGGTAGGTTAAGTGGATTGGCTCACTAACCCACATTTTTTTCCCCAATAAGCACGATTGAATTGCGGGATTGAAATGCAATGATGTGGTGACACAACAAACATTGTAATGCAACTAAAATACGGAAAATATTATGGTATAACTGAAACACGGTGACGTGACAAATGCAGTGGTGCGGCAAATGCAATGATGTGAACAACATTGTGGCATGATTAAAATGTGATATTAAAATGTTATGATGTTAACATGACAAACGCTATGACACAACAAATGTGACAAACACCATAACGCAATTAAAATGCATCGGTGCAATAAACACAACGAACACGGTGATATAGTAGTGTGGTGGAAGGATGACAAGTGGCTCAGGTACAACAATGAACACAGTGGTGCAGTGAATAATTTATGATAAACTTGAGTGAGAGTTGGACTTGTAGTGACGGCATGAAATAAAGGTAAAGAGGAAAAAAAACATCAATTAGGATTACTAAATTATTATAATTATTTTTAAAATTTAAAATAAATGGTGAGTTGCAGGTCAACCCAATATAACCCGACTCGAACCCGTTTAACCCTGGGTTAAGTGAGCCGAGTTCATTTTCAATCCATTATTGGTAAAAATGAAAAAAATAAACTCAACCCGACTTGAACCTATGGTGAGTCAGGTTGACTCACGGGTTATAACTCATATTGACACTTCTACTCTTGGCTCAAGACAACAATTGGAAAGAGGTTAAGTTTTAGCTTTGATACCATGTTAAGGTTCCAACATAAAACCAATTAACAATACATAGAATAGCCTAACAAGTACTTAAACTATACCACATGACATAAAACAAGCAATGTGGGATTTCCAATAACTAACAAAGTGAATTGATAAGACATTAAGCCTCCATCACTAGAAAAAAGAAATGGTAACAAAAAATGGATAATGAAATTTTATGGCAATGCTATTCACAAATATCAAAAAAGCAAAATCCTATACCATCACATAGAGAGAAAATCACAATACTAATAACCAATATTCTACCAAATAAGATAAAGCCATTGAATTTTCACTTACCTTGGTTATAGCCTTTAGATCAGGACGTTTAGCTGTGGTCTTTGAATCCTTAGGTGGACCAACTTTCTAGACAGATTAATTAATGAAGCTTTATAGTTAGTTAGTTTATGGTAAGATAATTATGAAAGAAAAACAATCATTAAAGCATATCATATTAAATTTCAGTATACAATAAGATGTAGAGCTCCCCTTAGACATATAAACACCTTGCTAATAAAAGCAAAGCTTCTTAACTCCAATTGTCAGGTGCTTTAAACGTTTGGCTGAGAAAGGAAAAATTAATTTCTAGCTTGTATGTATTAACTAATAACTATGATTTGAAAAATTCAGCTTGAACACATTCAACTGCAAAATTTTATATGCAATACATGATTTTTAAAGATAATATACATGCTGAAAAATTCCCATAGTAAAATTAAAAAAACAACACAAAACAGCACAAAACAAAATAAAACAAAAAACAAGAGCAGAAGCTACAGTTATCCGCTGAACTGACCCACCTGCTATGTTATACTGTTTTAGTTCAACAATAAAATGAAGAAACGTTATAAACATCCCACCAAATATGCCCGGCACAGTTAACCACTTTTAAGACACAGTTAACCATCATTAGACATTTCAACTACTTGATGACACTATGGATATTAAACCATTAATGTCACAAGTCCATTTTGATAATCAATAGTTGTATGCAATCACATTTACTTATGCATCAAAGTTAAGAACTATTAGACATTTCAATATCCATGTAACACCGTGAACTTGCAAGACATGTTTAAACTTTAGTGCCACATGTAGAGATATATAATAGCACATGTGCATTACTCTTAACTTGCGATAAAAACTAACCACCATTAAACATTTCCATGACATCGTAACACTAAGCATATGTTAGACACATTTAATCATCAGCGACACAAGTACTAATCAATATTGGTATACAATCACATTCATTTACTCTTAATCACTAGTGAGACAAATTTAAAAATATTTTACACGTGTGACTGACTAGTGGACACTGAGTAGAGAATTCCCAGCATTACACTAAAGTACTCTAAAACAACATGCATTTTGAAACTTGCAAGAAATTCTGCTAATGCTCAATCAAAGGTACAGTCATATGAAACAAAAGTCACACTGGAAACCTAGCAGCTCAATGAAAGATAGGAGAGGACTAGACCAAGGCAACCACCAAAACCAAAAAAATGAAAAACAATCCAATGTAGAACATTAATAATGACACAATTCTTTAACAAGTAATGGATAATCAGACACTAACCTTCGATCTTGAAGCCATTTTAGAAGGTTTTTTAGCAGCTTTCCGCTCAGCCTTTTTTGGAGGATTTTTAGAAGCTTTCCTCTCAGCCTCTGCCTTTCCACACCTCTTCTCTTCTTCCTACACATGAGAGCAATTCAACTTCTGCCATACAGATTTGAACTGAAGATACACATTGATATCTTATACTGAACACAAACCAAACTCACCTGGATTAACTGAAGATAATGTTTATTAAATAATCTTATAGTCTCTTTGACTTTAACCAAATCACTCTTATCTCCAAAAACCCCTACCACATTTTCCGGCTCCTCCTTCCCATTCTCTACTTCCCCCTCACCCTTGCTGCACGCCACCTGCTTCTTCTTAGGCGGTAAAACAACCTCTTCTTCCACCACCACACTCTCCTCACGGCCACTCTTTCTACTGAGTTTCTTCCCCTTGTCCGTCAGTTCGTTTTGGCATTTGTCCTTCTCTTTAACTACCTCCGCATTTCGTCCAGCTAGAACCTCCTCTTCCGCTTTCTGCAGCGCTTGAATTCGAGCGCTCGACCTACGCGGCTGCGTTAGATAAGCCTTCGATTCTTTCAATTTCTTCAAATCCTTAACTCCTTTAACGCCGTTCGTCACGGCAATTTTCGATACTAAACTCTTATCCGCCCTGGTGGAAACCATTAAATGCTGATGAACAATGTCGAGCTGCGCAACAATAAAAGAGTTTCTAGGGTTTGAAAACGGTACAGACGACGAAGAGAGAGAAAATAGCTAGTGCAGAAGACAATGAAGAAGGGGTTTTGGTTTTTTACGGGGAACAATGCTTCACTAAAAAATTGAGAAGCGCCGAACCTATGGGAATAATGGTTTTTCAATCCTTTCTTTTCTTTTTCTTAGTTTTTTTTTTTTTTTTTTTTTCATTTTGGTTCCCGCTTTCCATTTTGTTTTCCCTCGCAGGCAAAATCAGAGCGGGGTGTTGAGGTGTGAAAATTAGGGCCGTTTGTCATCTTTTAATAGGATTTAACCACTTAGACCTTTTCTATTTTAAAGAGTTTTTTCAATTAGGTCAAATATTATAGTTATTATTATTATTATTATTATTATTATTATAAAATAATTATGACAACTTCAACACTTTTTTCTATTTTATAATAAATTATATCTTTAACATTTTTAAATGTAATAAAATGTTATTATTATAAAATATATTAATATAATATACTTATTTAATTATGGATTTATAATATTATTATTTAATTTAATAAATAACTTTTTAACACAATGTTATATTTATTTTATCGTGAAAGTGTATCTTGTTATATTACAAACTTGAATTATTGTAATTCTTTATTCTGGTCAATTTAAAAAAAATATTTATGTTGTTCTTATTTAGATTAAATTTTTAATTTTTTAATTTAATCCTTTATATTTTTAAAAGCATCAAAATAATTTTAGATTTTTAATACAATTTCATATTTTTATTATCATGAAAGTGTGTATCTTGTTCTATTACAAACATGAACATGCATTATTGTACATTTCTTAATTCTTATCAACGTAAAAAAATATTTATGTTGTTCTTATTTAGATTAAATTATTAATTTTTTAATTTAATCTTTTATATTTTTAAAATGATCAAAATAATTTTAGATTTTAAAAATTAACAAATTATTTAATTTAAAAAAAATTAAAAATTTATTTTTATTTTCATCATGTACTTTTTTTAATATAACAGTTTAATTTATTTTTCACTACAAATTATTATAAAATACTTAAAAATCATGTTTTTTATAGTGCTATTATAATCAAAATATTTACAAAATTATGATGACATTCATGCTTAAATCAATGATTGATATTCTTGAGAGATAAGGGAGTCTAAAATTTTCATAACTTACATTAATATTTATGATTTTAGTATTATCAAATTAATAATTATTATATATATATATATTTTATTTATCTTTTTATATTTATTTATTATTTATTGATAATATGTCATTTAACCCCTTCAATGATCAAGATTCGATTATTGATTAAAATATATTCAATTTTTAGATTATTTGTCCTAAAAGTTAAATTTACATATTTAAAGATGTAAAATAATAATTGAAAAGCAAAACATAAATAAAAAAGATAAAAATGAATCAATTCATACTTCCAATCAACAAATAATTTTTTATCGTAATTTTCTAGAGATTTCAACTTATATTTAAACAACTAGAGATTTAATTAATCAACTAGTTTTATTACATGAATTAAATCTCAATATCATTCAATTTATTATCTGAATATCATTTAATTTAATACATATTTAATTATCAAATCAATATTCAATTGATTCCTTTCTAAAAAATAAAATTACAAATTGATATATAGTAAAACCAAAATTAGAGAAGGAAAACAAACTCGGAGCAAAAAGCGATTGATGCAAAACTCAATGCGGCTTGTTTGATCTTGATTTTGTGAATTGATCCTCAAACTTTAGTTTTGTATGGATGAAGAACTCTAGAGCAATATGGAATAGAAACAAAGAAGAAAAGTAGGAAGAGTCAAAAAGAAGATGAGAGAAAAAAAAAAGATGTAAAGATACTTCCCAATGTGAAAAATTAGTAAAATGATATTGGGATATTAGTTTAAAACATATTTAGGCTATTTATATCCTTTCAAATATGAATCAATCATGAGCCTAAATATGGGTTTTACTTTAACTTCACAAGTCTAATTACAAAAGTTAAGTTAATATAGTAAAGAAACATTTTATTTGCGTGATTTCTTTATAAAATTTTAACAAATTTTTCTTAACTTCTAAAAATCATAGAAAATAACACAAGTTTATATTTAACAAACCATGTATTCATTTGAAAACCCTAAAAATGTAGAATTGAATGCAATTTGAATCAATAAAAAATAATATCGACGAGAAAAAGTTATAGCCAAAATAGTAAGAAAATGTCAAATTAACTAAAAATATAAAATTAAAGAAAATATATACATTGAACCAATTTATTACTATAAAATCAAAATGAGTTTAAAAAGAAAAAGAAAACATATAGAAAATGTATTCACTATATAATAAAATTATAAATATGTGTACAAAATATGTATTATAACCATGGTTATCAAAGCTGGATCGGACAGGACCGGTTGAACCAGGAACCGATGCGATAACTGGTCCGGTGTCAATCACTTGTTTCAAACTCCGATCATGTAAACAAATAGAAGTTTTGGTAAAAGAGATAACTTAATCAAGAGAATGAGTTATACCAGAGGGTAAATTATGGGGAGAGGAGAAAGAGGAAAATAAGGATTTGTTACTAGTATGTGATTTGTGGCTCCTGAGTCAAGGACCCAAGGGCCAATAGAAGAAGATTGAGTCAGACAAGCAAAAGATGTACATGTGCGTGCAACAGAAGTAGTGGAACTAGAGGGCTTATGATCCTCATACAATTTAAGAAAATCATTGAAGATGGTAGATTTGTCTAATGTCAGTGGAGAAGATGAAGGAGGATCCACAGCAGATGATTGTGAGGAAGGATCAGTCTGAGCAACGGAAACAGATCGAGATGGACGACCATGTAAAGCATAATATTTGTCAATTTTGTGGCCTAGCTTGCCACAATGGTCACACTTGTGACGCCCTTTTCTTGGTTTGTGAGAGCGATTGCGATCATCACATTGAGATGTCATAGCAGAGGAATCATTAGTAAAAACAGGGGGATCATTGAGAGGTTTACATGACACACGCAGAAGGGAGGAACTTGTAGAAGTAAAATTGGGTGTAACAGGGGAACCCAAAATCTGGTCATAGAGATGGGAATATTTATCTGCAAATCCGAGTAACATTAAAGCCATGAAAAACTTGGACCATTGCTCTAATTCTTGTGCAGGAGTAGATGCAGGATGTAATAACTCATTAAATTCATGGAGAGGAGTATGTATCTTACCCACATAATCCGTCACAGGATCCTTATCCCGAAGAGCAATAACCACTACTACAAAATATACTTTCTACGTCGTCATTTAACGTCGGTTATAGCTGAGAGGACGTAGAAAGTACTTTCCATGTCGGTTCCCAGATGAACCGACGTTGAAAGTTGAATATTAAACACACTCTACATCAGTTTTTAGTAAACCGACGTAGAAAGTACTTTCCACGTAGGTTCCCATATGAACCGACGTAGAAAGTCTTTTTTTTTTTTTTACCCAAAAATTCACTTAAATTTGAAAATTGTTACTGAAAGGATTCGAACTCAGGATTTTAGAATTGAAAACTATTACTCTAACCACTAAACTATTATAATTTTCCGATAATAACTTTCAAAAAAATTATATTTATATACAAATAAATATATATCTATGTAAATATATATTTATTTGTATATATGTTCTGGAAAGTATTTTTATTTTTATTTTTAGCCAAAAATTCACTTAAGTTAATGAATTGTCATCGACAACATTTGAACCCAGTATTTTAGAGTTGAAAGTTAATATCTCAACCACTAAACTACTACAATTTTTTGATAATAACTTACAAATAAATTATATTGGTATTTTTCGATCGAGGGTGAAAGTGAGGTTGACTCTTGCTTGAGTGAAAATATGTTAAAGCTCACGGAAATTCACTCACTCAAGCCTCGCTTGAGCGAAAATTGGTATTTTTCGCTTGAGAGCGAATGACGCGTTTCCCAAATTATTTTATATCATTATATAAATAAAATTATAAAGATTATATTCTGTCATTAAATTACAAACTCATATAAAGACACATGCTCACAAATTTAGCATCAAATTTTGAAAACTCATTCGACACACACTTTCACTTTCAAGTGTGCCCTCACATTCAACATATAAATATATAACTATATAAATATATCAAAATATATAAATATATTTGTATTTATATATTTATATATTTACACGGATATATATTTATTTGTATATAAATATAATTTATTTGTAAATTATTATCAGAAAATTCTAGTAGTTTAGTGGTTGGAGTATCGGCCTCCAATTCTAAGGTACTGAGTTCGAATCCTGCCAATGACAATTCTCTTGAAAAAATTAATAAACTTCTAAAAAATATAATATAAAGAGAGGGGGACTTCTAGATAAATAAAGGGGATAAAAGGGTTGTAAATAAATAAAAATTATTAATTTAAAAAATCATAATTTCAACGTCGGTTTATTAGAACCGACGTTATGACTTTCAATGTCGCCTATTGATACCAATTTAGGGAGCTTCTCGTTGTCAGCATATGCAGTCATCTTGGGGCAAGTTATTCCCATGTATTTTGGGAAGTCCAGAGTTTTGAATTTGTTACGGAATTGGATGTTTTTAATGAGGCACATATCAGCCGCCTCTTTAACATCAAAGTTATGCCCCTCCATGGCTCTTAACCTATCCTCCAGGGCAGTAATTTGTTGTTTCGATATTTTCGGCGCATGAATATGTACTGCCCTTGTATCAGATTGGGCTTGTTCACCGTTAGGCTCTTCTTCCTCTTCTTGATGAGAGGCTTGTCCATTCTGAGGACCCTCTTTATGGAGATTCTGTTCACGCATCATTTCCAACATTTGAGCCATTTTCTCTTTCAGTGTATTAAGTTCAGTGGTGAGCTTTCGGTTTTGTTCTTCCAGTTGCTCCATCTTTTTAGCTTTCTGAGCACGAGTGAGGACGA